AAAAAACCATTTCGGTTTCGAAGAGAAAAACTCTGAAATGTCATTTTCGACCTCCTCATGGCTTGTGTGAGTTAATCCATTCAAATGATTCTGTAAACTACGGAACAAATGGTAGTCTGAAGGAGTAAGGTCGGGAGAATAAGGCGGATGAGGAATTTTCTCCCAACCAAGTTCTTCAATCTTCTGGGACGTGATTTTTGCAGTGTGGGGTCGTGCATTGTCCTGATGAAACACCACTCCTCTTCAATTCACTAAAACAGGTCTTTTTTCTTTAAAGCCGCGTTCAAATGTTCTAATTGCTGACAATAGACTTGAGCATTGATTGTTGCATTAGTTGACAGCAACTCAAAGTGAATAATTCCTTTGCAATCCCACCAGATAGAGAGAAGAACCTTCTTCGCATGAAGTTCCCTTTTCGGTTGTGGTTGGGCCTTTTCCCCATTGCTAAGCCACTGCCTACGACGTTTAACATTTTTATAAAAAAACCCATTTTTCCTTCTCTTCATTCTCGTGACCTTATCTCGCCCTTTTTGGATAGATTTGTGACTGGTGATGAGCAGATCTCAACTCGCGATTTGCGGTTCACTTCAGACAATTCATGAGGCACCCATTTTCCAAGCTTAGGAACCTTTCCAAGTTGTTGAAGATGACGATGAACAGTTTTATGGTTTGAACCAAGCTTCATTGCCAATTCTTCAACTGATACTGCAGGATTTTCTTCAAGTGATGCCACAAGGAGCATATCATCAAACTCAACTGGACATCCTGTTCGGTCTTCATCTTCAAGGCTGAAATTTCCACTTCTGAATTTTGCAAACCATCTTCTGCAAGTTTTTTCATTCAGGCATTCTTCTCCATAAGCTGAGTGAATATTTCAAGTATCTTCGGCTGCAGAGTTCCCTTTTTTAAACTCATAAAGCATTATATGCCTCAAATGCTCCTTAGATACTTCCATGTTCAAAGGGCTTTAATCAGTGAAATTTCTGTAAAATAAAATTTAAAAAGTTTAAATATGCCCAAATACATATGTATGATATATAAATATTTTTTATTTCCATTAAACATTCTAAATTACTAGTAAATTTCAAAGAATTAAAATCCGGACAGAACTTATGGGATGACAACAGAAATTTGAAGTCCTATTAATATAATGGATCAAGACAAAACCTTATGTAAAATGTTCATGCTGTGATTCCTAACTTAACCAAAATATTAACCACAGACTCACATGGGTGGTGTAGCAGTTTTACTAATCAAGTTATCCTTCAAATGTATCAGTTCTTTTAATTTCGGATACTCTTCAAACCTGTCTGCTAAACCTGTGAAAAGGAATAGAGAACATACAATAATCACAAAAGCATTTTCATGTTAATAAGCACAATACACTAATAAAAACAGAGCAAGTTCTTAAAAGACTGTCTCAATGTGGCTTGTAACCATTACTAATACTTTATATGCTTATCAACAAATAGTTTTACTACACAAGATCTTTAGCAGGTTTTACTGTCATTGATTGAAAATAATAATTTTGGTTACACTCACAGTAACTCTTAATCAACATTTCATTTTTAAGCAATTGAATAGTACATCTTTTTGTATCAGAACTATTCTTTTTATTTAACCCTATCTCCACGGGTATCCTTTACTGCACATGACTCAAGGTTTTAGTGTCTTACATTCAAAATTTTATTAAACTACTTTTTGTTTATGTTATATCAAATAGTATAGCATAAAAACTTATCTAGCAATCCATATTTTAATACTATACAAGTTTACTACAAGGGAATATAAAAAAATCCTGAATTTCTCTTAGTGTGACACATATGACACATTTTCTCTAGGCATCTTCATTTCTCTATTTTATCCACCACCCCTTCAAAATGTACAAAATTAAACGTAATTTCTCACAATAAAAACGTCATTGCTCAGACAAACCATAATTTTTATAGCCTTCAATTTTGTTTGGTTACAGAGCTATTGAATAGAACATCAGACCTTTCCTGCCACACCCACCTGTAACATCCTCTCTTTCAGGATTTGTTAATAGGTCTCTCTTACATTTAATAATATAATACCTATAACCAATAGATAGCCAAGGTTTTCATCTAGCAAATGACGTATTGTATAATGTTGTGTTCTGAACATAAGAACTCTGTTCTTATGGGAAAGCTAATGATTAGCTTGGATGAATTTGTAACAGCTCTTGTCGTATAGTTAGAAAGCCAGAAAAATTTTGAAAGTTAGAGGAAATTGTCTACTTTTTGCATGTTATTAGTCTATGTTCTCTGGTACACTATTGAATTAAATAAAAATTATTTAGTGCATTACTACCATTAGTATAAAAAAAGTAGGGTTAAGTGTCATCAACAATCGACAGTAAGAAAAAAAGAAGATTGTACTTTATTTCTTGTTTTTCATGGTTATTCTTTATTTATTATTATAAAAGTAACTAAAATGTAAAAATAGG